ATCGATAGCACCGAACCTCAGAAGAAAATGTAGTGGAGCGCGCCCACGGCGAACTCCGTGTGACGGACGGGGGGGAGGGGCGGCGGGCCTGCACGCTACGCGGCGAGCCCCCTGCCAATCCCCCACTGCCACCCCCGTCCGCCCCGGTAGCCTCCTCGAAGACGGCGGCGACGCGGCACAGCACACCGGCCTCGTACTCGGAGAGCTCCGTAGCGCGCGCCAAGCCTACACGTAGAGGGCGCGCATGTCGCCAGGAGTCACGCCAAGCCGCGCAGCCAAGGTCCTGGCAGCCTCCACGAGCGACTGGCGCGCAGCATCAGGAGGCCGCCCACCGCCAGTCACCGCCGCGTCCGCAGACCTCCGCGGAGGAAGGTCATCGGCCCAGGCGTCGTCCAGCAGGGGCGACGGCGGAGCTGGGCCTCCCCCCGCCACCGCAGCCGTCGTTACCGCGTCCTCCTCGGCCTCCACGCCCTCCATGGTCATCGCCGCCTCCTGCACCGCCATGCCCGCCTTCTTGCCACGTCCTCGCGGGCGGCGCCGCCGCCGCCGCGGGGCGGCAGCGGGGGAGGCCGCCGCAACGGGAGGCGCGGCAGGGGCGGGCGGCGCCGGCATGGCCGTCCGAAGGAGGCCCTCGGAGGCGCGCGCGAAACGCTGGGCCCCGCGGCAGCCACCCGTGAGCCCAGCTGCAGCGTGCGTGGCGAGAGGCGCGCCGCGAAGGGCGTCCTCGGTCGAGCGCACGCGGCGGGCATCCAGCGTCGGCGGCATCGGCGACGGCGCGAAAGGCGCGGGGCGGCGCGACCCAGCGGACGAGGCTCAAGCCAAAACCAACTGATGATGATGAGGAGGAGGAGGAGGAGGAGGAGGCGGAGGAGGAGGAGGAGGAAGGAGAGGAGGAGCAGGAGGAAGGAGGAGAGGAGGAGGAGGAGGAGGAGGAGGAGGAGGAGGAGGAGGAGGAGGAGGAGGAGGAGGGGAGGGGAGGGGGAGGGAGGAGGAGGGAGGGAGGGAGGAGGAGAGGAGGAGGAGGAGGAGGGAGGAGGGAGGAGGGAGGAGGGAGGAGGCGGAGGAGGAGGAGGGAGGAGGGAGGAGGGAGGGGGAGGGGCGGGAGGGAGGGAGGGAGGAGGGAGGAGGGAGGAGGGGGAGGGAGGAGGAGGAGGGGAGGAGGGAGGAGGGAGGAGGGAGGAGGGGGAGGGAGGGAGGAGGGAGGGAGGAGGAGGAGGAGGAGGAGGAGAGGAGGAGGAGGAGGAGGAGGAGGAGGAGAGGAGGAGGAGGAGGAAGAGGAAGGAGGAGGGAGGGAGGGAGGGAGGGAGGGAGGAGGGAGGGAGGGAGGGAGGGAGGGAGGGAGGGAGGGAGGGAGGGAGGGAGGAGGGAGGGAGGGGGGGAGGGAGGGAGGGAGGGAGGGAGGGAGGGAGGGAGGAGGAGGAGGAGGAGGAGGAGGAGGAGGAAGAGGAGGAGGGGGAGGGAGGGAGGGAGGGGAGGGAGGAGGAGGGGAGGGAGGGAGGGAGGGAGGGAGGGAGGAAGGAGGGATGGAGGGAGGGAGGAGGGAGGAGGAGGAGGCGGAGGGTGTTTCTTGACATGGGCCCCCGCTGCAAACCTCCTGCGAGGTGGTTCCCTCCAATCTGGGTGCCTTCCCTCGAGGCTCGGCCTTCCAGAGCCCGGCCTCCGGGGCCCCCCTGGGGGCCGAGGGGCCACGACTGGGGGGGGGGGGGACTGGCACAGGGCCAAGTCGGGCCTGCCCCTCTGCAGGAAAATCCAAGAAATCGCCAAAGACTGGCCTGGGGACGAATGTTTTACTGTTTCTGGCTCTTTCGGCATGTTTTGGGGGGTATGCTTTTGTTTTTCCGTCCAGAATCCGCCTGTAGGGGGACATGCCCGAGCTAAGCACACGGGGGGGATGCATCGACCTGGGATCGACGACACGTCGCCGACAGATCGGCGATAGGCCCCCGATAGGGAATCCGCACCTTCCTGGGCAGGTTGGAGCTATCGGGCCCCATATCGGCGATCAACGGGCGATTGGGGGTCGATGCATCCCCCCTATGCCTATCTCCCCCCCCTATCGTTGCCCATGAGGGGCCTATCGTTGCCCCCCGGGCTGGGGTGCAAGGTCCTGCAGGATCCTGCACCCAAACCCCGGTCGATGCGACCCTGGCCCTGCGAGATCCTGCAAGATCGGGCGCCCTGGCTGACCCCCGTCTGCACTGACCCCGGCCTCGAGGCTCCCGAGGGCCATCTCCAGGGGAGCCTCCGCTAGGGCTCCCAACTTCGCGCTTCGCGCTTCGCGCTTCGCGCTTCGCGCTTCGCGAAGCGCGAAGTGCAAATAACTTCGCGCTCTCGCGCCGCCCCACCAAAGGGAGAAAAGGAGGACGAGGAGGAGGGGGGAGAAGGAACGAGGACCGCGAAACGCGAAGCTCGAATAACTTCGCGCCCTCGTGGGAGCCCTTGCTCCGGGGGGGTCCGCTTGGGGACGGGAACCGTCGACCTGGAACCGCCGGTGCCTCGCGGATGCATCGGCAATGTGCTTCGAGAGCGGCTCCGCACGGCCCTGTGCAGGGTGGCCCACCGGGCTCCTGTCAGCGATCGCGATGGGCGAGCGTTAGGTCGGGCCTGTCCCTCTACAGGAGGTATATTCAAAAATAATCAAAAAATAATATGGGGACTATTTTTTGAGTATTTTTGTTGCACCTTTCGAGAATTTTTGAATATTAATTATTTTTCGTCCAAAATCTCCCTGTAGGGAGACAGGCCCGACCTAAGGCGAGCGGGGGTCGACACAGCCCCCACCGAGCCTGCGGTAGGTTCGCGCGGCGTCGGCGCGCGCGAAGGTCTCGAACACCGCGTCGACCGTTCAGTCTTGAACCGATCGCGGTCCCGACCGTTCAAGGTTGAAGTCCGTCGGGTCCAGTGGCGTCCCCGTGTCCCTCGGAGCCTCCCCGTCGCAGAATTCAACCTTGAACGCCTTCGCCGGCGTCGCCGGCGCGCCAATGCCGCGTGAACCTATCGTATCCCCCCCAACGTTGCCCCTGGCTTTCGGGTCATAACTCGGCTATCCTAGGAGAAGAAAAGGCAGAAACATAAACTTTCGACGGTCCGCGCGGATTTCTTGGATTTGCGCTGGATACCCCTCTCTGGCGCGCGGAGCGCGCCAGGGGCGGCGCCGGAGGCGCCGCCGGGGGGGGCTCAGCGCGGATCCAAGAAATCCGCGCGCAGCGCCTAAAGTGTATGTTTATGCCGTTTCTGTTACTTCGAAACCTGGCGGCCGTTCGGGAAGATGCGGACATTCCCGGAACGCTCTCGGCGAGGCACAGCCACTAAAGGCGTCCCGAGGCTTGATAACCGCCGAGGGCCAGCGAAAACGTCCGAACAACTTGAAACCTCGAAGCTTCATGTCGTTCCCAGACCCTGTCCACGCATTGCCGCTGACCATATCAGACATGAATACGTAGGGGAACCAACAATGACATACACATAAAACTCTGAGGTCCGCGCAGGTTTCTCGGATCGGCACTGGACCTCTTCCCTGGCGCGGAGCGCGCCAGGGGCGGCGCCGGAGGCGCCACAAGGGGGGCCCCAGCGCCGATCCGAGGAACCTGCGCGGACCTCCGAGTTATCATGCTCATGTCACTGTCTGTTCTCCAATGACATGCAGCCCAGGCGAAAACCTGACCCCTGGGGGAGAAGTCGGGACACCTCCTGGTCCCTGGTCTCCTCGGGCTCGGTGGTGATCTCCTCCCGAGGGGACACAACAAAGGCTTAGGTCGGGCGTGTCCTCCTGCAGGCGGATTCTGGGCGAAAAAAAAAAGAAAAGTCAGAAAATGCTCGAAAATGCTGAAACAATTATCGACTATTTTCAATTATTTTTGACTATTTCAAAATATTTCGACTATTCTGGACTATTTTTGAATATTTCTCCAGTAGAGGAGGAGGAGGAGGAGGAGGAGGAGGAGGAGGAGGAGGAGGAGGAGGAGGAGGAGGAGGAGGAGGAGAGAGGAGAGAGGAGAGGAGAGAGGAGAGAGGAGAGAGGAGAGAGGAGAGAGGAGACAGGAGAGAGGAGAGAGGAGCGAGAGGAGGAGGAGGAGGAGGAGGAGGAGGAGGAGGAGACGGAGGAGGAGGAGGAGGAGGAGGAGGAGGAGTCTTTACAGAGAAGCTGGAAAAAGCGGGAGCTGGAAAATCAGCGAGTGGAAAGGGCCAGGGCTGGCAAAAAGAAAGGGAAACTGGCCAGGGCTGGAAAGAGTGGAAGGGCTGGCCCCAGTCACTTTGTGGCCAGCTTCCATGTACGAACCAGGCGTGCGGTGTTGGTGAACCTACCGCATGGTCAGTAGACCCCGTTGAATTGCTTCTTGAGGGTCGGCGCTGGACCACCCCGTGGCGTAAGACGAAGCCAAGACCGGGACACAATCGGACTGGGACAGGTCGAGGACCTCTGAACAGGCGGATCTGGAGGACGCCTCGGGCGCCGCGGCCGTTCCAGCTCGCTGCAGGGGGCGCTGCGGGGGCGATCCGAAGCGCCCCAGAACGACTCATCCCAGCCCCAGCCACGCCCGAGCTGCGCCGCGGGCGCCGACCCCGGCCCGGGCGCCGATCCGAGAAGTGCGGCGCGGGCCGCCGACGGTTTCCCGTGCTCGTGCCCTCCTCCTCCTCCTCCTCCTCCTCCTCCTCCTCCTCCTCCTCCTCCTCCTCCTCCTCCTCCTCCTCATGCACCACCACCACCACCTGCCTGGCCCCCATCCATCCCCCAAGAAAGACGAGAGGAAGAGGAGGGCAGAGGAGGGAGGGGAGATGGAGGTGGTGGTGGTGGTCGTGGCGGTGGTGGTGGTGGAGGTGGTGGTGGTGCGTATTCTGGGACCCGCTTGATTTCTCCTTTCGCAGAAGGGCAAGTTGAGACACTGGAAACACAATATCGGCTTCAAGCGCACTAGCTCTCCGAGCTGCACCAAGCCGTGGCGACGAGGGGGCCCCCCGAAGGCCAGCTGCTGGTGTCTCAAACGGCCCTCCGCCGACTCTTTGACTCCTCGCTCAGACGCTGGCGCGACAAATGTTCACACACCTTCCCGGAGCACTCAATGACAGGAAGCACAGCTCCATGGCTTGCTCGGCCGGCCCGCGGGCCGCGGAGGGGAGCGAGAGGTAAGTTTGTTGGTTTGGGAGGCAAGGCGGTCTGATCCCGAGCGGCGGCGGCGGCGGCGGCGGCGGCGGCGGCGGCGGCGGCGGCGTCGTCGTCGTCGTCGTCGTCGTCGTCGTCGTCATTTTCTGTCTCCTCGTCCTGGTCATCGTCTGGTCCTCCGCGTCGTCATCGTCGCCCTCGTCGCTGGCGTCGTCGTTGTCGTCGTCGTCGTCGTTGCCGCCGCCGCCGGGCAGGCCAGAAAAGCAGATCGATCAATCCGCTGCCCGCCCCTCAGGTCGGGTGTTGCTAGAAGTGCCCCTGGCCAAAGGTGCCCCCAGCTTTTCGCTGCACGTTGGAGACCCTGGGGCCCTCTGGGTCTCGTGATCGGCGCCCTGGAAACCATCTGGGCCACCCCGAAAATCCTGGGGGCACCTTGGCCCATTAACGGACCGACGAGCATTAGGTCGGGAATGTCCCACTACAGGCAGGCCTGGGACGACAGAATCAAAAATACTCGGACCCCAATAGAAAGAATTCCCCCCCACCAAAAAAAATCGTCCCCAGGTACTGTCTGGACTATTCTTGAACATTCTTCCTGTAGGGGGACAGGCCCGACTCGAGGCGAGTACCGCGAGAGCGGCGACGAGCGAGCGCAGTCCAAGGGGGGTCGGCAACAGCGGGCCGCACCGAGCGCGGGGCAGGTGGGGCGGGTGGGGCAGCCGAGGGCAGGGCGGCCGCGGAGGCGCAGCGGCCGCGCCACGGGCGAGGCTGGCCAGCGGCGATGTTTGGGGAGATCCGACCTTTTTGTGACGCCGAGCTCGCGCAAAACGAATTTGAAGGGGCCCTGGGACACACAAATAAATACACATATTCCCTACCTAGGCTCTGCCTAGAAGGGTTCTTACTCTCTGAGCTTACAGGGGCCCGACTGTGGGGCTCGCCCCGGGCGTTTCCCCCAGGATCCGCCCCGCGGTTCCCCCAGCTACGCCCCCTTAGCTTAGCGTTGCGGATCTCATCTTAGCTTAGCTTATTTCATCTTAGCGTAGCTTAGCTTCATCTTAGTTCAGGTTTACCTTAGCTTAGCGTACCTTCACCGTAGCTTCGCTGAGCTTTAGCATAGCAGAGCACAGCATAGCATAGCGTAGCATAGCATAGCGCAGCACAACATATCATAGCATAGCCCATCAGAACATAACATAGCGCAGCATAGCATAACATAGCATAGCGGAGTACAGCACAGCACAGCGCAGCATAGCATAGCATAGCAGAGGTGAGCATAGCATAGCATAGCATAGCATAGCATAGCATGACGCATCCTGACATATCATAGCATAGCATAGCATAGCACAGCATAGCACAGCGCCGCAGGACATACCATAGCTCAGCATAGCATAAAATAGCATGACGCAGCATAGCATATCATATCATAGCATAGCATAGCGCAGCATATCATGGCATAGCACAGCATAGCATAGCAACTAATGCTGCTTTCCTAGGGGCTCCAACTTCTAGGTAGGGTCGCTCTGGGGGTAATTTTCTGTTGTTTTTGTCTCCCCCCATGAGCTCAAGTTTTTAGTATTCCACATAACGCGCGTTATGTGGCTGGGTGGGTGGGTGGGGTCGCTGGCACATAACATAACACAGCCGCGCCCGGCCGCTCGAATGGCTGTATGCACACATTCTGATGCAGCAGCCTATGCGCGCACCACATCGCGCGTGTACACCACAGTGCATGGCGCATGGCAGTGATCACGTAAACCACAGAAACTGCGTATACGATTATAAACGCGCCATACCACAAAGTTTTTTCACACCCTTTGCTGCGCCCACAGCAGCACGTTCCGCGCGCACAACGCAGTCGCGCCTGGCCGCTCGAATGCTGATTGTGCTGGAAGGACTGCCTTTTGTTGCTATTGGTCATAGCACTCATGCAACGACAGGGCCTAGCAGCTGCGAGTGCTACACAGCACCGCAATGCCCACGAACACCACGCATGCTGATGCAGCAACCTACGCGTGCACAACCTCGTCAGCGTACGTCGCAACGCACGGGTGCACAACAGCGCCTGTGTATACAGCTGTCAACGTGCACACCACCTGTAGTGCGCCAGCGAAAAAAATCGCTTGCGACCCGACAGCCACGACGCGCCTATGTCAAGCGCTACAATAGTTTGCGGTCCGATCAACGCGACGTGCCCGTAAACGGCACAATGCTTTTGACGAGCGCAGCGTCTGTGAACACCACAGCGCTTGTGAACACCAAAGCGCCTGTCAACGTAGCGCCTGCGAACGCCACAGCGCCCGTGAATGCCGCATCGCCTGTGCACGCGACATAACCAGAAAACGCCACAACCCGTGTGAACGCCACAACGCCTGTGAACACAGCGCGCGCGAGCACCGCAGAGCCTGGGGCCCGGCGGCAATGCGCACGCACTTACAGTACAAGTAGCAGTGGTAATAGCAGTGGTAGTAGTAGTAGTAGTAGTAGTAGTAGTAGTAGTAGTAGTAGTAGTAGTAGTAGTAGTAGTAGTAGTAGTAGTAGTAGTAGTAGTAGTAGTAGTAGTAGTAGTAGTAGTAGTAGTAGTAGTAGTAGTAGTAGTAGTAGTAGTAGTAGTAGTAGTAGTAGTAGTAGTAGTAGTAGTAGTAGTAGTAGTAGTAGTAGTAGTAGTAGTAGTAGTAGTAGTAGTAGTAGTAGTAGTAGTAGTAGTAGTAGTAGTAGTAGTAGTAGTAGTAGTAGTAGTAGTAGTAGTAGTAGTAGTAGTAGTAGTAGTAGTAGTAGTAGTAGTAGTAGTAGTAGTAGTAGTAGTAGTAGTAGTAGTTAGTAGTAGTAGTAGTAGTAGTAGTAGTAGTAGTAGTAGTAGTAGTAGTAGTAGTAGTAGTAGTAGTAGTAGTAGTAGTAGTAGTAGTAGTAGTAGTAGTAGTAGTAGTAGTAGTAGTAGTAGTAGTAGTAGTAGTAGTAGTAGTAGTAGTAGTAGTAGTAGTAGTAGTAGTCGTAGTAGTCGTAGTAGTAGTAGTAGTAGTAGTAGTAGTAGTAGTAGTAGTAGTAGAGTAGTAAGTAGTAGTATAGTAGTAGTAGTAGTAGTAGTAGTAGTAGTAGTAGTAGTAGTAGTCAGTAGTAGTAGTAGTAGTAGTAGTAGTAGTAGTAGTAGTAGTAGTAGTTAGTAGTAGTAGTAGTAGTAGTAGTAGTTAGGTAGTAGTAGTAGTAGTAGTAGTAGTAGTAGTAGTAGTAGTAGTAGTAAGTAGTAGTAGTAGTAGTAGTAGTAGTAGTAGTAGTAGTAGTAGTAGTAGTAGTAGTAGTAGTATAGTAGTCGTAGTAGTAGTAGTAGTAGTAGTAGTAGTAGTAGTAGTAGTAGTAGTAGTAGTAGTAGTAGTAGTAGTAGTAGTAGTAGTAGTCGTAGTAGTGGTAGTAGTAGTAGTAGTAGTAGTAGTAGTAGTAGTAGTAGTAGTAGTAGTAGTAGTAGTAGTAGTAGTAGTAGTAGTAGTAGTAGTAGGGAGGGAGGAAGGGGAGGAGGGAGGAGGGAGGGAGCGACGGGAGGGGAGGGAGGGCGAAAAGCAACACCAGGACAGATTGCGAAGCTCCCCACAGACGAAGGGGGCCCCCGAAGACCCGTCGAGCCACAACGGCTTGAGCCATGTAAACGCAACAACTCGGAGGTCCGCGCGGGGTTCTTGCGTCGGCGCTGGGCCGCTTAGCGGTGCTTCCGGGGGAACGCGGTCCGGCGCCGTTCCAAGAAACCTGCGCGGACCTCCGAACTGTTTCGTTTATGTCGTTTGGTTCTCTACGTAGGCACGCCCCGGCGGGCGACGCCTGGTTCCATAATCGTGGTTCGATTGATTTCGTCTCCGCCATGCAAGGCACGCCCCAACAGTATTTCCATAATCGTGGTTCGATTGATTTCGTCTCCGCCATGCAAGGCACGCTCCTAGATGATACGTTTCCGGCGTATCAGGAGGGCCCCAGGAGGGCCTCAAGCGGCCCCCAGAGATGTGCAACGGCCGTTACACATCTCAGGGGTCATTGTGGGGCCGTCTTGGGGCCCGCTCGGGGCCCTCTTGGGGCCGTCTTGGGCCCTGATGGGCCCCCTGCGCCGTCTGGAAGGGGCCCAAAAAGGCCTCCAGAGGGCCCCGAGAGGGTCCCAGGAGGCCCCCAGAGATGTGCAACGCTCTTGGGGCCATCTTGGAGCTCTCTTGAGCCCCCTGCGGGCTTCCTGAGCCGTTTGGGAGGGGCCCAAGTAGGCCCCAAGAGGGCCGCGAGAGGGTTCCAAGAGGCCCCCAGAGATGTGCAACGGCCGTTGCACATCTCAAGGTTTGTCTTGGGGCCATCTTGGGGCCCGTTCGAGGCCCTTTTGAGGCCATCTTGGAACCCGCTTGAGCCCCCCGCGGGCTTCGTGGGCCGTCTGGGAGGGGCCCAAGAAGGCCCCAAGAGGGCCCCGAGAGGGTCCCAAGAGGCCCCCAGAGATGTGCAATGGCCGACGGCTGTGCTGTGCTAGGCCGTGCTGAACTGCGATGTGCCATGCCGCGATCGTGCTCTACATAGCGTTGTGAATCGAGTCCTCTTTGCATCCGAGTCCTGACCGAACTGATCTGGATCTTAAGCTCGAGCTGCCTGAGCAGATGGTAGCTGTTCCAGAACTAATCGACAGGGGGACATGCCAGGAGGACGCGCCGCGGAACGTCCCAAGGAACGCGCCAGGCGACGTGCCAGGGGACGTGCCATGGGCACGCACCGCGGGACGTGCCAAGGGGACGCGCTACGGAACGTGCCAATGGATGTGCACCGCGCGATGTGCCAGGGGGACTCGCCACGGGACGCTCCGCGGAACGTGCCAGGCAACATGCCAGGCTGCAATGCTAAGAGTATCGATATTGATGTACCGTGCCGAGGGCTGTGCTGTGCCTGGGCGACCTGGACACGTGAAAACACGCGTTTCGCTCAAGACGTTCTCAGCACATCCTCATGCTAGACATCCGCCTGGGCAACCTGGACACGTGCAAACAAGCGTCTCGATCGAGACTTCCTCGACACATCCTCATGCTAGACATCCGCCTGGGCGACC